TTACAGACTGTATAATTAAAATAGGAAGTAAATACTAGGGAGATGTGATATTACAGACTGTATAACTAAAATAGGAAGTAAATACTAGGGAGATATGATTTACCTTGATTGTAGGACAGATTTGTAGGAATTTGATTAGTCTTCTTTCCTAATATATTCTTTCCTAACATAGAATTTGTAACTTGTATATATACATAGAGATTGATGAATAATAAAACAAATTCTTCTTCTTCCTCTGTTTACTCTTATTTTACACAATTATTAGTGGGCCCTAAAAGGAACTTCTCTAGGTTGATCACTGGTTCGACTGAATTAATCTAACCATCAAATTTGCAGCTTCTAAGCCTGCATGTCATTACTTTTACTGGATTGCAAAATTGTGTTGCATATTAGAGGATTACTAAGATCCAATTGGGCCAATTATTGATCTTTTTTTATTGGTGAGCAAATTAATGATCCAGATAATCTTATTTAGTGAAACCTATATCAGTGAGTCCCAATGCTTCCCAATCGTGACCCAAATGCAATAAGGGATTACATTATTAAATAAGTATTTGGGGAGTTAGAGGGAAAAAGAAGGTCACTGTTACCTGGACGATGCTGAGGGTTGCAGATGTCACAGGATCAGAGAAATCTCCTCCGGGAGGAGAAACAGCACCAACAATTGTAACACTACCTGTACGCTCTGGCCCACCAAGACATTTAACTTTACCGGCACGTTCATAGAAAGAAGCTAAACGAGCTGCCAAATAAGCAGGATAACCACTATCTGCAGGCATCTCAGCCTGAAAAAGAAATATGTTTGTCCTCAGATTCAGATAATGGATACCACCGTATGCGTTCGACAATTTAAAGATATGAAAACAAAAGTATGATAGCATGGTGTGTACACTGTACACAGAAAGCATAGCGAGTGTAGACACAAAATAATGCCTCCATAAAGCAAATACATTATCCATATTTCTAGCATTTCTTGAACTCCAACAATCTTTAGGCCAAGCTCAGAACCTGTTTTCCAAATCTGATTTGGATCTCTAAAAATTATATTGTTTTATTATCTGGGGAGAAGAACTAATAGGAATACTGTTAGTCTTTAGCTTTTAACCCCATTCATTGGTTAGGAAAATAACCCCATAAAAACCACCCATAAACTATCATTTTCATCCTCCCTTAAGTTCCTTAATATCCTTATATTCTGAACAATTAAGTATGCCCTCAACTTCAGTTACTCTACTTCCCACTCTAATTTCCATCAAATTATCATTTATTCCCTAACCCAGGAAGAGTTTTGTCTTGTAAATCCCTAGTTTTCTTGAACCCCATAATCCTGAACCTCAGTTGGGTGAACATCCCTTGGGGATTGGACAGGCATCTGGGTATCATAAATTGGCATCTATGTTACCTAGATACTGCTGTATATGATATCAGATAAGAAATTTACACTAAAAATCGAAGCATTCAACATGACAGCACCATTCTGGGTATCATAGATTGTTGTTACAAAACAAAGAAGCGGTATCATCTTTCCTTCCATAGAACAGATAAAGAACAAGGGAATAGCATCCAAAACAGAGGGACAAGATGTTCCATATGAGATAAAATATGGCTATGTTTGGTTTAAAGGAAAAGGTAGGGAAAAGAAGGGAAAGACAGGGAAACCAATACAAGGTTTGTAAAGGTTTCCCTTCCTTTCCCTACATTTTCCTTCAAACCAAACATAGCTAGCCTAAAGGAAACTTACCAGCCGCCCTGATATTTCACGCAACGCTTCTGCCCATCGTGATGTCGAATCAGCCATCATACTAACATTATAACCCATGTCTCTAAAATATTCAGCTATCGTGATGCCTGAAAATTCCACACTCACATCAATTGGAAGATAACAAAATGCATTTTATAACATGAAAGCTTACAAGTACAGAATATTGGCTGCAGAAAAAATGAATACCAGTAAAAGCTTTTCTTTCCTTCCTTTTTTCCATCAGGCATCAATAGCATGTAAAAATAATTCACACTTGTGGAAAGTGTAGTGGTGTAGGACCATCAGGGTCTTGAGCATGTTATTAGACAGTTGACAAGTATTAAACATTTAGTGTAACCTAAATTTGCCATGTTAATCATTTTTAAAAAGTATTGTGCAGTAGGCGTCATAAGGTGTTCTTCATCAATTCACCATGTTTAATAGGCAAGGAGATGAGATGTTTCTGAACACTCTTCACCACAAGCATTTTTGGCCAATCAGTCTGGTAGGGAGTTTGTATAAAGTCTAATCCAAAGTCCTCTGCATGACACTTGGAGAGGTCGTGGGAAGTATCATAACTCCTATTCACCTTTCAGCATGTGGTCAAAGGAAGGCTAACAATGGACCAAACCCAAATAGCAAATGAGTATAAAAGATACAATAAGGATTGACAGCAATGGATTATCTATATATACTGGATCTTGAGAAGGCCTATGATAACATGCATTGGTCCTTGTCATCAGCTCATATCATGATCCTAGCGAACAAGTCTTCGATGAGTTTTTTTCCCAGACATTTGTTTGTTGACATAAATAAATTCCTCAAATGCTATTATTGAAGTAGAAATCACTGATTGTAGATTTAGTTGAATTTCTTGTGAAAGGAAAAGAGGAGGAAGACAAAGATTTCAGTAGTAGAGAAGAAAAGAGAGAGAGAAAAGAGTAGAGAGTCAACCAGGATTCTTGAATTAATCCTAGCCGCCAACCCCTCATTATATTTATACTTAACTTAAAGGATGAGATATTACAAGGATGCCCTTAGTAGGGCGGCTAATGTAACTGAACAGTCACAACTTAAAAACATAAACTAATGGGCCTAAAGCCCAACAACTTCCTAACTAAATAGCTTAAA